TTTGATGTAATTGGCAAGTTTGTGAACAAAAGGAATTGAATTTAATATGTTGTAAAAGTCAAGGAGTAAGTTGCAAATAGTAGAAATTGAGTTGTATTAGGTCTAGGGTTCGAGAATGGAAAAGAAGGAAAAACAGCGTCGTAATTTTGCTAGGCTGTCACCATGACTTTGCTCGAGTGGCAGAAACAAAAACATTGTCACCCACTTGTCGCCTTGCCTTTGCTCGAGAGACATACTGTCGCCTACCTGTTGCCCAACTTTCGCTCGAGTGACAGGATTTCCCGAAAATTTTTAATTCGAGTTTTTAAGACTTTTTGTCCGGCCCAATCAACCCCAAAACCTAAACTATAAATACCAAATGCCTCTGAAAATTTTTTACAAGGTTGAACATTGAGAAAAACACATTCTCTCTGTATCCTCTTCATCATATAAGCTTTCAACCTCCATACTGTGATTTGTTCTTGGCGGTGAAAACATCAAATCCATAATCCAAATACTAAACTGTTATTTCCTACACATCTGTCAAAGTTCTGAAAATCAGGGGAAGGTGGCTGAAATTCTAGTTGTTGAAGAACGCGTAGTTCTTCGTTGATCTACAGGAGATAGACGAATTCATAAATTCAAGAGTTGTTGTAGGATCGCGCAACCCAGGAAGGCTTTGGAAGCTACAGTTGAGAGTTGGTGTAAAAGCACGCATTTTAGGAGAGCCGTGGAAATTACAGTCAGGAAGTCAGAAAATACTAGTGGTAGTCGTGTCCGGCAGACTGTAAGTTCATAATTCGTTTACAGTGGACTTAAAAGTGTCCAGAGTTTTTACCCAGTTGGGGTTTCTCTGTGATTATTTCTTGTGTTTGTTTATTGCTTTCATAACTGCGATATTTCAATATAGGAAAAATTGAACTGTTTGGTTAATCATCTATATATAATTAATAATGACTAGTTGCTAATTAATTATTAAGTTTTAATTCCGTATAATCACCTATTCATCCCTCTTCTAAGCGTTCAAACTAGGTGGACTGCACCTTCAACCACTATTGCTGGTGTAGCTACATCCACTGATATTTCACTTTTGACTAAAAATGACTTAGCCGAATGTAACTGGAACAGTAAGGGTCTTCATGCCCTGTTCATGGCTATGTCTGCTGGAGTTTAGGGGAGTATCAATGTGTGAAACTGTTAAAAAAGTTTGGATATATTAGAAACCACACACGAGGGAAATAAAACTATTAAAAACTCTAAACTGTAGATGTTGACTAGATCCCTACCTGAAAGTTTTAGACCTAAAATCACTGCGATTGAAGAAAGTAAGGACTTAGATGTAGTTAAGATAGATGAACTCGTAAAATCTCTCCAAACCTTTGAACTCACCATATTTCAACCAAAAAAGGTTAAATCCATAGCCATGAACACTATTAAGGAAGAAGTGAGTGAGTCGACTAATGCTGAGACCTTCAGAAGATGATGAAGAATAAGAGAAAACCTCATGAACGAAAAAATGATGTCCCTAATAAATTCTCAAACGATAAGCGGAAGAAGAATAACCATATGACTTCTAATAAGAAACCCAGTCAGTTAGATGTGTACTCACAGTCCTAAAACCAGTGATTAAAAATGAATGTCTTAACTTGAAGAAGAATTTGAATAACGGAAAGAGTAAGACATTAGCAGTGACCTGGAGTGATGATGAATTAGATTCAAGTGATTAGAATGATACCTCTCTTGGTGAGGATGAACAAAATTTCATGGCCTTCACATCTATAGCAAAGATTGAATTTGATAAGGAGAATGAAAATGTTGAGAATAGTGAAAAATCTAGGAAGATTCTGAGGATGAGGTTGATATTCATGAATCTTATCGAGAATTATTTAAGGAGAGTCTTAAAATCAAGAAGGTCAATAAAAATGTTCTGAAAAAGGTTAATGAACTTGAAAGAGAGAGAGAGACTCATAGGTGACCTTCATGACTCTATTAAAAATTTAGTGAGTTGAAGCTTTTTAATGAGAATTTAGAAGCCAAAGTTAAATCCTTAACAAGCGACCTTGAAAAATCTAATACCCAACTTCATTCTTTCATAAGTGGTACTCAGAAACTCGATAACTTCCTTGCTAATCAGGTTAACCTGATATCTCAAGCAAGGTTAACTTCCTCACTAATCAGGTTAGCCATTTAACTGAGATGATGACTCAGCTGGGTGAAGAAGAGTGACCTGAAATATCGTTATACTATTAAAGGTGAGAGCATCCATGTACCTCTGTGATTAGATACTTAGGTGCATGCATGTGCAGTTCTTTAACTGAGATGATGACTCAGCTGGGTTAAGAAGAGTGACCTGAAATATCATTATACTATTAAAGGTGAGAGCATCCATGTACCTCTTTGATTAGATACTTAGGTGCATGCATGTGCAGTTCATTGAATCCATTCATTCTTACATGCATCTCACTTATTTATTTTGTGTTTTTATTTTAAAAAAATAAAATAAAATTGTGTCTTTGGACGACTGGATATTTCTTGATGCTCATAAATACTGCATTTGGAATCAAGTATGCACTCATCTTATTTATACTGTTATTTCCATTATTTGGTTAGGTTTAATATGGAAGTATTGTGTATATATTTCTTCATGGACCATCTTTACAGCACACACTCTTATCTTGTGAGTGAGTCTGGGCCGCTTGTGTGAGATTTGGGATGTCTGACATCTGTTGGTAAGGTGACCTTGAACGTGAATTGACCTTCATTTATATAACCTAATCTCACATATAATCCCCATATCATAAAAAAAAATGGTTCATTTTATACTCTTTTTCGAAGCATTTTGACTCGAATAATTAAGTTTGAGGGGTTTCTCATAACTTGGTGCCTATGGTCAACTGACTTGGGTTAACCGGCCTAAAGCTCGTTATATGAGTCATTTTAATCGCTTAATGGACAAGAGTCTGCACATAAGATGCAATATTTGAGAAAAATGACAGATGTGAGACCCATGAAAGATGTGGTTAGTATTTATTATTTGACTTAGATTTAGATTAAAATCAAATTTTAATTCAGCCCAAACATGCCCTTAATGTGCACTTTAGTTAAAACTCCAAATTATCTTCAACAAAGAATTCTGGTCATACCCAAATTCTAGCAAGCACCAAATTGTAACAAACAGTGATCTCTACCTTTTGCAATAGAGATCCTCATATTGTGCCATTCCTATAGTAGCTTGGAAGTCGTTATTATAGGCGAATTCCACCCGTGGTAGGTGTGTTTTCCAATTGCCTCTTAGATCCTACAAACAAGCTCGAAGCATATCGTCTAAAATCGTAATGGTCATTTACCAATTTCAATCACCTTCTTCATCTCATATTTAACTTCCTTTAGGAAAAGAAAAATTTAAGACTTTTTGGGCCACTGTAAATGTTACATTTTTCGCCATAAAAATAATGACGTTATATGTTTAGTCCACGAACAACTGTTGCAAGTTACATGTCATGCGTTAGACAGTGTTGCTCCTACTGCTTCAAATGTCTAAGAGCATTGGCAATCACCTTCCTCTATTGCATCGGCACACATCCCAAGCCTTGTTTGACCATTCTCCCATTCTAATCTTCAGGTATTCTTAATATTAGAGTTGTAAGCATATAAACAATTGCTACTTCAACTTCTGAAAACTATGTTCACATTTATCTTTCCATTTAACAAATTGTCTAAGATTCTTACAAAAGAAAAAAGAAATTGTTGTTTTTAATTGAAGTATGCACTCCACTCCATAGATATAATATAAATCTACAACTCCAAACTTCTCATTCATTAGAACTATCAATAACATTAACGTGGAGGTTATACAATAAAAATGCGGAATAATATAAATGATTTTCTAACATACTATTCAATATTATTTTCAAGAATGCGCTATAAAGCTCTGTTTGGTATTATTATATTAATTGCATAATAATTTTAAATATCAAAGTAGAAAATATTTCTCATGCACCATTACAAAATCATGTGTGGTAAAATTTTAAATTTAAACGTAATTAACAATGATGTTAAAAAATCACACGCATCGCATATGTTCTACACTAGTAATAATAACAAGGGACTAAGCCTGACATCCACTATTTTTTGATAGATTTATATTACACGTTTGAGTGTAATTCATCTTTGATTATATTCATTTCTATTCCTACAATATATACTCTATTTCACAATTTTAAATTGTGGTATAAAAAAATAATAACTACTCTTGTAAATTGCATTCTTTTTTATTAAGAATTAAAATATGTGTAACAAAATGTGCATGACTGTATTTAGAAAAAATGAATTTAGTACATTAGAGGGTCATGTGCTCTCGTAACAATGAAAATGGCCTCTTTTTTTTTTCTCATTTGTGAGTACACACGAGAAAATATTCCTTGTTTATATGTTGAAGAAGAAAAAGAAAGGTTTGAATTTAAAATCTGATTGAACTCATTATGAATACAATTTAAATGATATATGAAGAGGAGTCTTGTATACAATATTGGTTTTTAGTTTATGCTTGGTTTGGACAACGTATATTTTTCCCTGCATCTAGTTGTACTAATTGAATTCAGTGCATCTCTTAGCAAAAAAACTACCTCGTACTTTCTACTTTGTTTTATATAACCATATTTTCACTTGATTTTGATAAAAATTTCTTAAAAGGATAGCTGTCTTATAAAGAGGTACAAATAAACTAGCTATAATATATGGAGATAATTATAAACTCAGACAAGCATGATTTTAAAACAGATAAATTATTACATCTGTCAAACCTGATGTAATCAGCAAATTAATAGTAACTCATCATTATGCCCTTGACAGATTAAATCTATATCAGGGAGTACCTCTAGATTACTTTATACAATGATATTAACTGAACATAGTTCGAAAAAAAAAGAACACCTAAATTAACCAGCCTAATTAAATATAAATCCACGATGAAAACTACATAGATTTCTCAGATAGAGCTATTCAATGCTGCATTAAGTCGGCTAAACACCACCTTCAGCGGGATGCAAGCTACAACTGGGTTGGCGAGCACGTTGATCATTGGGATCTCCTCTGGCTCCGTTGAACTGGTATGTTTTCGAAGAACCCCTGCGCTTCTTCAATTTTGGTGATTTCACTGGTGGGACCAGGCTCTGCGGCATGACATTCTTAGTGTGTGGCCGTCCATGTCCCCTCTTTTCAATAACCATGCCGTCTTCTAAAACGTCAACATTAAGTGGGTGGCCAACGATTGATTCACGGGTTAACTTGCTCATTAGAGAAATATTTGGAACATGTTGAGGTTGGTAGTGCCTGTTCGCATTGAGAGTAACATCATACAAGCCAGAGTCATCTTTACAGTCTCCAAGATAAAAATCTGAGAGGTCATACTTCAGATTGACAGTAGAACGTGACTGACGATGGGGCATTAACCTCTGGGGAACTGCCGGTTCATGAGCTTGTCCTCGTGTCTGAGGTTTCACAGGATGAACAGATGACTTTTCAACCTTAACATTCGGAATTGGTCCCGACTTTCCAAAAAAGCTGTACAGAATGGTATCTGACATGTACACATAACCACCCGGTTTTCTCGACCTTGACCTCCTCCTTT